TGGCTGCGTGAGTTACAAAGCACTCCGATGCAGGACGGGAGGTGTGGGCAGTTCGGGCTGCGCTACCACGAAGGGATCTGGGGAGGATCCCTGACCACACAGCCTGGAATTCTCTGCAAGAAGCTCCACCGGTACATTAGAGGGAAGTCAGAGACATTTCACTTGCGCTTTCTTGTAACTGGTAGCAGATCATGGCAACTGCAGGCTCCACAACAAAGATGCAGATATTCCGTCCCTAGGAAATCCGACAAGGGGCTCTGCTTTGCTGTCGGTATTCCCAGTTACCTATACTAATCCTGGTCTCCGCAGGGATGTCCCTTAATTTGCACTCTACCCAGATACTCCTGCAGGCTCCAGCCAAATTAACGCTCCCCTCAAGGAGATAAGCTCCCCCTTGGCATGTGCTTCTTGGGGAACTCAAGTTGTTCAAGAGAAATAGCAAATCTGCTTAGTGTCTTCACTTCAATAAAAACTGGTAGACTTACTGTGGCTTAATCAGATTAAGAAACTTTCACGTTGAGCAACAGTAAAGCCTTGAGGTACAAAAGCTGCAGAGTCTGGAACTGAGAAGGCCTGCTATCTATCTTGTTGAGTCACCATGGAAAAGAGAATTTAATTTACACCTAACTCGTGAAATAAAGCTCCTAAAACATACTTAAATAATTTATCCAGCCAACTATGAACACATTCCTTTACTACTTTAACTTTCAAAAAATCTGTACTACTAAAATTGGTTTAAAAAAAAGCATATTAAACTTGGCCTTTCTACAGTATTATTTGACTTAAACCATGTAGAACTTAAGGGAAAACTGGACTCAGTTTTTGCCCAATGCAACAGTTAAGTGATACAAACCCGAGGGTGGAAAACAAAGCTGGGGGAGAGGACACTAAAGCGTAGAAGTTATGGGGACACCTGGCCCTGCAAATCATTTGCTGACGACTCCTAACAAGCCTAAGTTACTACTCAAAATTGTTTTACTTTCCAACTTAGCAGTTTGAAAGTGTAGAGGATGGGGCTACAGCTGGGGTCAAGACAGCCCCAGCCCCTGGACAGCTTGCTCTGGTAGAAAGAGGCCAGAGAGGGCTTGTGGAGGTAGGTGTGAGTTGATGCAGCAGGGAGGAGAATGGGGCCATGGGCAGGTCAAGGCAGACCCCGTCCAGGACACAGCCCAGGAGACGGCTGGCACCACAAATATCTTGGGAGCTGCAAAGTGGATTAGTGTGGTCGGGACCTGTGGTCCATATGGGAAAGTGACAATTGGAAATGCAGGTTGATCCAGATCAGGGAGAGCCTGTAAGCCTTGTTAACAAATTTAAATTCCCCATAGCAGTTTTACCCAAACTTCACTCTATTGTCAATTGCTGCCACACACAGTGCCGCCTAACCTATTTTTTTAAAAAGAAGATTCAACATATTTGCAAAAGACATATCTGATAAAGGGCTGTTATCCAAAATATACAAGAATTCTTGAAACTCAATGATGAGAAAACAACCCAATTAAAAAATGGGCTGAAGACCTTAACAGATACTTCGCCAAAGCAGATGGATGGCAACTGAGCGTACGGAAAGGCGTGTAGCCACGGGAACTCTCCTGCGCTGACGACGGAGAAGCACCATATGCAACTTTGGAAGACAGTTCGGCAGTTTCTCACAAAACCAAACACACTCTTACCACATGAAACTGCACTCCTTGGCGTTTATCCAAAGGAGCTGAAAACGTACGCCCACACGAAAACCTGCACCCCAGGCACGTCAGCAGGGAGGCTCCGACAGCTGGGGGAGGCAGCTGGGGCTTATCAAAGCAGACTCCTGCGTGCCCGCTTGACTTCTGGCAGCACAGGTCGGGGGCGCGTCACTTGGAGCGCAGAGGCACTCCGGCCCCCTGTGAATTGGCCCAGAGAGAAGTCATCTTACAAGTGTATGAACCCCTGCTGACTTGAGATTGCTTGACAATTGTACAATTTCTCTATTTTTTTAGGGAAATAGATTTTTAAAATAATTGGTTTGGAACAATATGAACAGAATTGAACCTTGTATCTGAATAATGACAATATCAATTACACAAACTTTTACTTAAAAATATACAACATATCTGAAGATTCATAGAGCATCCGAATGAAACTGTTGTTTAAAACAGACTATCTGACTCTGAGGAGAGAACCAGAGATGTCCCAATTTGTAAACAGCAGTTTCAGAAGGAGAGTATTTGGACAAAATTCCTTTCCGCTGTATGGAACACATGTAAAATTACTAAATATTAATATAAAAACTTCAATGAGTGGCACATTTTTGGACTTTGAGGAAAAAGTCCCGTATACCCAGAGAAAAGTAGACAGATTTCCCACAGTGACGCACTTCTGCAGAGCCATCCCACCAAACCCAGCAGCTCCCTCAGGAACTGCGGGGAGTACCTGACGTCAGCGTGTTTAATACTAAAACGTTCAGAAGTCAAACTCAGGTGTGCATACTTCCCATTTCAAGGAAGAAACCTGGATTTCACTCAGTTTTTGCCTTGTTCTTTGAAAGTGCTGCAATGAATTCCTTTATGGTGCTCTGTGTACTTGTCATCCTAGGGACAAGTGGAATTGTCACTTTTTCCATAAATTGATTCACCTTGAACGAGTTTAGCAGACACCGTGTTTACCTGTCCACTCTGTCTTCTGGCTGCAGCACACACATGTCCTTTGGGGAGCCATCCCTTTACCAGCTCCACAAGAGCCCCATCATCTTACCCAATACTCCAAGGTATGCTGCACACCTGAGTCAGGCCCAACCTATCAGAGTAGGGCATCCCTCAGGTTCAAGATGCATAGACAGCCTGGGTTTCGCTGTGCCCATTGTGGAAGGGGTGTCGTTTTCACAGGGGAGACGCCAAGACATAAACCTGGACTTTGTGTTAACCATCTTTGTCACCGCACACAGGAAGTCTATCTGATTAAAACCAAAGCAGAGCAGAACCAGGATAGATATTAGACCTTATACACCTTCTCAACTAGTCTTTGCCGAAATCCCCTGACAAATCACCTGGGATGTGTTTAAAGACTGTTCACCTGGCCTCTCCCCTAAGATCCCGATTCCTAGGTCTGGTTTGGAACCCAGCAGTCTGTTAGTATAAAACAAACTAGGTGTTTCTTAACAGATTAAATCTGGGAAGCATTTACCTAGTATGATGACAAAGCCAATCAATACCTCTTTTGGCTTAAAATAATTTGAGTAGGTTTTCTGTCCCTTGCAACTAAGTCTTTATTGATATAGTGAGGGTCTCTGGACAACTGCAGCTTTTCCAAAATTATCACGTTTATGAATTTTTCATGATTCTAAAGACATTAAAGCCCCTTAACTATATGGTAGAGCTTGAAACCTGCTAAAAATGAGATTTTGATGACTTAAATTACTGACTGGCCATAAAAATCCATAAATAAAAACTCATACCTCAAATTAATCTTTTCAGTTGTATTGATTAGATTTCTTTATATTCCTTCTTAAAGTTGTGGCAACCTTTAGCAAC